GACTGTTATTATACTTTTATGACTCGTAATGATAGCGATGTCTTATTTATTTTTGCACTTACTTCCCGTACCCGAGTCGGCGTGAAAGTGAATGTATCATACAGCATGTTCTCCGTGGAAAGGGTTTTTAACTTGGTTCCGCTAAGAATTTATTACGAAGTGTACGATATGCTGACGTCCTTCATAGTCATTTATTTTTGTGAGTATCGATCTCTTTCGTATAAAACATACAGAGCTTCTGAAGTAAATCATGTATACATGAATGTGGTCCAATAAAATGTGTTCGAACCACTTACTGTTGTTGACCCCAAAATGCTCCACCAGCCAGGAGTCAATGCGGCGATTGTGTAACTTCAATGCTTTACAATAGAAAAAGAACAAGAAATATATATACTTCTGCTTTGTGAAGTAAGTTGAACTATTGTTTGACACATTTTGCACGGACTCTGTAGTAAAAAATAAAGCAAAAGTGCGTCAGTATTAAAAAAAAAAACAGCGGCTTCGGGAGTCCCGAGAGCCGAGCGAGGCGGGGAGGAAAAAGAGAGAGAAGGGTACCGGAGAAGCGGAGCGAAAACGCCCAAACCGAAACCGAAACTAACTTGACCGGAAACGGAATCAGATTATGCTTAATACCGCCCGCTAGGAGCGCTACCTGTCACTGATCTATCTGGGCCGCTGGGGCCTATGGCAGTGTCCGCTCTTTACCTTGGGTATATTACTCTATGCCCGAAGTTCCCCGTGAGCAAGCGGAAAAAAATAGTAGCGCAAGTGTGATGCACGCGCGACGCATTCTATCCTCCCAGGGTTTATCAGAAAGATAAAGACAAGCTTATATTGTTTAGTTTCGTCTGCATCTTTTTTATGTCTTCCTACTTTGATATTCGATTCAATACCGGCAGCATGCAAAAAAATAAAAAAATGAATAAATGATTAGCACATTTCAGCCATTATGGTTCCATATGACCAGGCATCTATATAGACCCTTTTCGGAAATACTGCCCTCTGTTGGCAGCTGTGGAATCCCTGCACAATGGCGGACCAAAACCGCAACGTCATGGCACACTTTATGCGTTGGGTTGGAATAGAAGAAAAACGACACCCACAAAAGGGTGATGAACGCAGTGACGTTGCACTTTCGACGCAATTTGAGTGGCTGGTCGGCTCCTGGCGTTGGCGGCGCTCCGACGTTCGCTATCTCATTGAGTGGCTTGCACGTTTCACGATATCAGTTGTTCCGCCATTGTGCAGGGGTTCCGACCTTCGAATAATCGGCACGCGAATTTCGAAAGGGGTCTATTAGATCACTTACATAAACTGCACTATAGAGTGGGAAATCAGCGCCCTGGGTTCAATGTAGAAAAACCTAGCCTCCTCAGACCTGAAAAAAAAAAAAAAAAACATTTTATTGTGGTAATTCTATTATTCTGTGTGGTTCTTTCAGACGTATAAAACACATTGATGATCTGAAAAATCAGTACATTCAAGTGTATGTCCACCCCCGGAGAAATGGGGTCCATCTCGAAAGATTTGCTTAGGCCTGGAACTGATAAAATACATTTCTGCTAACTTTGACGAAAATGTACACGTCACACTTCGAGCAATGATGCCTCGTTTTCACTTTGCAAACAGGGTGGTGGCATATCGCAGCGTTTGGAATGTCATCTTTCCAAGCATAATTTGCTAGCGCTCAGCTAGCTCGCGTCCCGAGTACAAGGTGCGGCGGTTTAGGTGTCTATCAACATCGCTGCCAGTGAAATAATCAGTGTCATTTCTTTGGGGGTCGTACTGACCACCGAAAACGTTCTCTTTGACGTCTTAGACCACAGAAGTTGATTGCCGCCACGTCTACATCTGGCTGAGGGCGAATAGTTTCTCCAGTGTTTCATAAATGGTGCTGCGTGCTCTCTCCTTCAAAGTTGACAGCCGTTCTTTGCATCATCATTGCTGTACATAGCCAGCGTTTGAAACGCCGAGTTTGAAAACAAACAACGACATTCCGACGAGCGCGTTTGGATTTCGCCATTAAATATAATACCACCCACGTGGTATTATACACACACGCTGAGTTGTATGTCAGTAGTAAAGTTTGGCATACCTTAAGCTTCACTCTCAGTTTCACTTTCACGTTTAAAATTACAATCCTCAGTGATGTGGTATTAAATTAAGCTGATCTCCTATGTTGCATTTTCAAAACGCGCACTAAATATTTGTTATATGAGCGGAAAGTGCCATTTTGGGAGTTGGACAGATGGTTCAAATTGGGCATGCCCACGCTTTGCCCTCTTGGAGTCCACATCTATACGAACCTTGCCCCCGGCAGCATAGACGAGGCGGAACCCACGGGGCATAAGCATGGGCAGCCCAAGTTGGGCATGCCCACGCGGAGCCCCCGTGGAAGCCCAGCTTTGCGCTAACTCTGCCCCCTATAGCCGAGGTGTTACCCACACGGGCATTGCATGGGCAGGCTAAGTTGAACAAGCCCCCGTAGAGCCCGCCTTTGTGATAAACCTGCTCCCGCACAGCAGCGGTGGGACCCACGGGTGCATGGCACGGGCAGTCTAAGTTGGGCATTTACGCCTGGAGCACACCTCAGTGCTAGCTATCTCTGCCCCCAAATAGCCTAAGTGGGACATGCGGGGGTGTGGAATGGGCAACCCAAGTTCGGCCTGCACCCGTGGAGCCCACCACGCTGCTCACCCTGCCCCCGTATAGCTGAAGTGTTTCCCATGGCAGCGTCACATAAGCAGCCCAAGTTGGACATGCCCACGCGTTTCAATTGTAGAGCCAACCTCTGTGCTAACCCTGATACCGTTTATCCGTGGCGTAATCCATGGGGGCATTGCACGGGCAGCCCAAGTTGAGCATGCCCATGCGCTGCCCCGTGAATCCCAGCTCCGTGCTAATTCTGCCCTCGCATAGCCCAGGTGAGGCCCACGGGAGAATTGCAGCGGGCAGCTAAAGTGGGACATGCTCGCGTGTGGAAGAAGTGCGACCCACTGGGGTACTGTGTTCTCCATTTGCCCACCATTGCGCTAGGTTTGCATTCGCATAACCAATGTTGGACCCACGAAAACATTGCATGGACAGCCTGAAAGGGGCATGCCCACGCCACACCAACATGTGACCCACGGGGGTACTGCAGAAGCTGCGCAAGACAACTTTGCCCACGTGGGCCTCCCTTCATATGTTACCTTGTGTACCGAAAAAAATTACGATAATAAAACGGACACATGTCAGACAACGCAGACTAGACACGCTTTCGACTTGCAAGATAAGGACCTGTGTCGTTTGTATTGTCTTCCATGTCCCTCTTTCGTTAACGTAATTCAGTCACCAAGACGCTCAACCAACCAATCCCGAAACGCATTATATTAACCTTAGCGTGCTTAAAGGGGCCCTGCAGTCATATTTAAGCGCCTACCTTTTTTGCGGTTTCCACGTCTCTTGGGGTTCGGGCAAGCCAGCGGACTCGGAGAGAGTAACTAAATATCAGTGCGTTATATTTTAACTGGACGACGCGGAAAACTCCTCCACCGAAAAGGGCGCCCCGCGATGCCGAAAGCGCACGAAATGTGAGGTCTTTGGTCCTGGGCTTATTACTGGTCAGAGCCGCTAAAAGCTTCTTTTTTGTCGAAATACAAAACATAAATGGCGGGAACCGTTTCAATTATTTATAGAAGTAGTTTTTGTTCAGTATTTTAGATCAAAAAAGAAACAAATGCAGTTTACAAAGTACGGGAAAAAAATGACCCGTCGACATGCCCGCCACCAAGCGGTGGAAAAGGCGCCGCATACTAGAAAGGTGCAGTGGGATCAGGCACGGACGAGCGGCGAGCGTGGAAAGGTCCCGGGTGTACGCAGCGGCGCTGCGTTTGAGGATCCGACCGGCTCCGAGCTTTCCGAAGGCCTTCCGCGAGTAGGTTTGGCTTGCCGTTTTGCCATTTTGCGTTATGGCAGCGCGAAGGGGCTCCCCTTCTGAACTGATCTTTACCCCGTGTTTGCTGTCGTTTGTGGCTAATGAAGTGTCATGCTGAATTAGCGTTTAATCTCGCAGACAATGCAATGCGAGCAGCCCTGGCCACCCGCTTCATCCAGCCTATCAAGCACATGCTTTAGTGGCGCCCTCTCGAGCCGTCGACACGGAGTGCGGCAGCCTTGAGCGCTCGCTAAGCTCACTACCCCTACCCCTCCTCTAGTTTACGGCCATTCAAGTCAGAGCCAAAGACGTCATGAAGGAGGTTATTTTTTGCTTGTTTTTGTAATTTTAATTCGCCTGTAACTTTTAAAATAAAGCGAAATGGGAGAAAAGGAAGGTTTCATTGCGTTACTACGTTCAGTGCGCTCAGGTTCGGTGCAAACTAAAAACCAGTAAAATAGTCCTTGCAGTGCCACGGAAAGCCAGATATGCTACATACATCTGCTCGGTCTCTGTGGAAAAATTAACGTAGTGATAAGCAAGAAAGTTTCACGATTTATCTACCCCGACATTTTTTGTCACCGCCATCTTTTAATTGCCAAAGTAAACGAAACTAACAAGACTACCTTTAACATGCTGTCTATCTCGTAAAACATTATTCGACAAGATTTACCGTCATAATCCAGTGCACAAAAAAAAACAGTAATCATATCTCTCATTTTTTCTTTTTCTATCGAAATTAACAATCGTTCGTTCGGCGATATTTAATTTAAAAGGTTATACACTCCACACACTGAGCAATATAAAATATCAAAAGTCAGCGTGACTTCAACGGGAGGTGGAGCTAAGGGGGTCAGGAATGCTACGTAATGTTTTGAGAACTGTGTCGGCTTAAGCGGATTTACAATAACAATATAAGTTCACAGATCAAGTTAAATAACAAAAACGCAATACCCTTTTCAATGAGGAAAAAGGTTTGTTTGCTGTTTTATTTTTTTTAGACAACCTTTCTTAAAAGACGCAGCACAGTATAGATAACATTTTACATGCGGCTCTTGCCTTTTGAGGTACAAGGAGCTTTTCGATGGGTACACCATGCTGGTCATTATGCCTATGGCTCTGGTTGATGTACGCTGGAGTGGATGGTTTGCCCAACGTTCGTCTACGTTCAAGACAGGAACCGGAAGTCCAAGGTAGGTTAAAAATTAACTGCATTGGAAATGCTTCTTGTGAATAACAGGTCATTTTTATTGAACCATTGTGGTGATGTAACGAAAGTATTACATCCGACGCAATGGTGTGTGTTACTGTGGAGAAAATAATAACACACCAAATAGTGAAAGAAATTGATAGGGCTTAACGTAACGTTATAATTTTGCGCGAAAAATATTAACAAGATAGTTTTTGTGGTTAAAAATGTATATGTCTTATATACACACCTAAAGAACACGTTTTCGCATACGTATACCAACCGCGCTTACAAATGTGTCAGTAAATTCTCAGAATTGGTACTACTTACGGTATGCGACAACAAAACTTCCCCTAGTGCGAAAACTAGTACCAACACGAGACATTTCTTCCTTTTTTTTACTTTTCTCATACAATTTAAATACAAAAATTACCTTAATTTTTACTCTACCGAGTGATTCAAGGAGACGGCAGGCTCTTTAAATCGACCGGAAAATTCGGTTTCCTAACCTATCGCGCTACGACTTTGTGCAACGTTGCCCACAGATGGTGCATTTTTTTTTTTTTTTTTTTTTTTTTTTGTAAAATTTGCAAAGAGCGAACTTACCTGAGGAAAAAGTGAAGAAAGAAAAAGGCTTAGCTCCTATGGAAACGCAGCGAAGCTACCGGTCTTCAAACAACACGGCGCCGTTTCGCACGGGACACAAGAGATGGCGCAACGAACGCCGCCAACGAACGAGCATACGGCGCCGACAGCCAGCGTCTTTAGCAGACAATCTTTTCGACTCAAAAGCGGCGCGCGTTCCGCGGGCGGCGACAGTCGCAGAAACAAAAACAGGCGCGGTAACAACAAGAAACTGTAGTTCCTTGTCTGCTAAATACGCCGGCTCTCGGCGTCGTCTGCTCGTTCGTTGGCGGCAGTTGGCGTCGCGACCGCTTGCGGCTTCTCTTGTCTCCCGTGCGAAACGGCGCCGTGTTGTTTGCAGACCGGTGGCGTCGCTGCGTTTCCATAGGAGCTAAGCCTTTTTCTTTCTTTACTTTTTCCTCAGGTAAGTTCGCTCTTTGCAAATTTTACAAAAAAAAAATGCACCATCTGTGGGCAACGCTGCACAAAGTCGTAGCGCGATAGGTTAAGAAAGTGAATTTTCCGGTCGATTTAAAGAGCCTGCCGTCTCCTTGAATCACCCGGTAGTATTCAGAACCGTTTTTAGGCGGAGAAACGAACACGAGAAACACTATGCACAGCGTGTACGTTCATGCTAGCAGTGATTGCACGTATGCTTATTATGCATGGCCGAAATTTTGAGCATAGTGACCTGGTCGTGCTCTCGCAAAGTTGCTCAATCATTTACGTGAATTAAAATTATCGAATGTAAATTCATGAAAACTCCTCAGAATCAATCACATACATTTTTAATGTATACTACTTAAGATTGCAGACTCCCTGATACAGCTGCTCATGTTCATAAGGAAATGATTTCCATCAAGTTCTAGAACATGGTTTACAGATTGACAGTGTTTTTCTGGACTTTTCCAGGGCGTTTGACAGGGTCTCTTATAAACTTCTCCTTACGTTTGACAAACCTTACACTGAGCCTCATGTCCTTTCGTGGATTCGCTCATTTCCGACTAATCGTTCACAGTTTGTAAAATGTAATAATACCGACCCGTCCGTAGATTCACTAACGTCCGGAGTACCTCATGGATTTGTGCTTGGTCGTCTACTCTTTCTCATTCACATTAATGATTTACCATTGAATGTGAACTCTTCTCATTTTTTATGTGCAATGATTGTGTTGTATACCGCGAAACTGTTAACAGTTTTGACATCTTACCTCTTCAAAATGATCTCGATTCTATGTCAAGTTAGTGTCACCCAGAGCACATGCAATTAAATGTTGAGAAATGTAAACACATGATAATTTCCAGGCGAGTTAACAGTCCTCCTTCCTATATCTTTAATAGTGTGACTTTAGAGCAGGTTGACACTTCAAAATATCTGGGCGTTCACATCACATCTAACAACACATGGAAATCGCATGTTCACCACGTCATTTCCAATGCCAACCACATGCTTAGCTATCTAAAACGTAATTTTTTCCAAACTCCTTTGAGTTTGAAACTTTTTTTCTATGAAACACTAGTCCGGCTAAAACTTGAGTGCGGTTCTGCAGTTTGTAATACTAACAATGAGAGTCTTGTCGGCGCCTTGGAAGCTGTCCAGAATAGATCTGTGCGTTTCATTCTTTCTAATCACCATCGTACATCAAGCGTAACATCTATGAAAAAATACCTATCCTCGCCTACGACTCAACGCCCTCGAGCCCCTTAACACGCCACCTCCGTCCTACGTCACCGACCTTGCCATAATGCTTGAGCAGCTTGTGCACGGCGTCGTCCAGTACGTGGAAGGGAATCCAGTGCAGGCGGACGCGTACCTTAAGGGTACAGCAAGATTCCATGACGACATGCCGCGGTTTCTTAACCTCGAGTTTCTTTGTTGTTGTTGTTTTTTGTTTGTTTTTTTTACATCGAGAAGTTGTTGTTTGCCTTCGGGGGTCCTCAGCGTCACCATTCGCTGGTGGTTCATTTCAAAACCGCCGAGCACAACTGTTCCGGACAACAAGGCGTAGCGCTTTATTTGCTGCCGGATATCTTCAATTCGATAAGGACGCCCCTTCAAATCGCAGTGCAATAAAACAAAATTTTAATCGGTTACTCCAGCTGGAATGGGAGGCACCAATACCCTGTAATCCTCGGTATGCGATGACGGCTCAGAAAACAAAGGTTCCCAACCACCAAGGGCTGTTGTCGCGGCTCACTTGGAGCCAGACATCCTGCGGCCGTTATCGGCGAGAGGCAGAAGCAGAATCCGGCTACTTAAGCACAAAGCAATGTGACGAAAGCGTCGATGATTCGGAGTAGGTTAGGTTCTTTGAGTCCCGTTTTAAGTTGTGGTCTGATGTACTAGTCATGCAATCTAATTGATCTGGGCGTGAACCCGGTTGAGTGATCTTTCTGGTTTGTCGTTGAACTTGAACACTACTCCCAAGATTTTGGTTCCGTCAACATGTATTTCCTTGCTCTGTAGCTTCACTTTAATTAATTTGCGGCCGGAGTCGGGTCCTTTTTCTGAAGATGCGATTAGTAGTTGAGATTTAGTAGGAAATAAAGTGAGCCCTTTTGCGGGGATGTATACTTTGATTGCATCGCAGCCCTGTTGAAAAGTGTTCTCGATTTGTCCGGGGCTTCCTCGTGTGGTCCATAACGTAATGACATCCGCAAAAATTAAGTGGTGTAGACCGGTGATATCGTCCCGTTGTGTTGACAAAGCTGTCATCGCAAGGTTGAATAGTGTGAGGGATATTATTGAGGCCTTGGGATGTTCGCCTGTCTATATTGAAAGTGGGATTTGTTTCCTTTAGCATGCTTAGGCCGTCCGGTTTGTGAGGAAGTCGTGCCCGTAGTCGGTACCTCCGTTGTCCGCGTCCCATGTTGGCGAGCCTGACCAGGATTGCTTTGTGCTTTAGGTTGTCGTATGCTTTGTGTATGTCCAGGGATATCATGCCTCTTAGTGAGCTTGAGTTTAGGCTATACACATCGTGCTGTATACGTATATGCGTATATTGGGGGCATATATGCTTTTTGAAGCCGATTTGGGGCGAGGCCAGTTCGTTTCTCCTTTCGAGGTGCCTCTCCAGTCGGGCCAAGACCATTTTTTCTATCAACTTTCTCACAAACGAAGGGACAAAGATAAGTCGGAGATTCTCAATTGTTGGAGTTTTGTCGGATTTTACGATTAAACAGATCTTGGCTTGCTTCCATTGGATGCAGGCCAACATCCCGTGTGGCCGACCGTTTCACGGTCGACCACACGTGATTGTATAGATGGAGGAACTGGGTGAGGTTTCCGTGATTGAGATTCTTTAGGACTTTGTATCTTATTAAGTGCTTGCTTGGTGTAGTGCTGTGTTTTATGGATGCGAGCGCTCTGCGGAGTTCCCCCATGATGAACGGGCTATCCATCTCGTGTGCTAGAAAAATAGGATGACTGGGTTCCGCTTGGGTGTGTCTCTGTACTTTCCGAGAAGTAGGTCTCTCTGGGTTTTTGTTTCAGTTATTTTGTCGACATCTCCTGGTTTAATTTAGATTCTGGTTGAAGACTCTCGGGTAACTGTCGGTTAGATCATGCTTCGGAATAGAGACCACAGAATTTTGGTGGATATGGGGGGATTTAATGAGCAGCAATGTTAATACAACTTTTCGTGTGCCAATTCGGCAGCGTAACCTTGAGCCTCTTCGGTCAGGAGCTGTATTCACTTTTTGAGGATCCTGTTTGCTTTTATATTTTTCTATCTCTAGATGACCGCTTGTCTCGTTTCCCATAGGGATAGGAGATGTGAGTCTACGTAGACAGCGTCCGGAGTTAATGGCATACCAGGTTGTGTGTTTCGGTGCCTGTTCTATGATCACCGTTGCAAATGTGTCCGGGTTCTGAAGGTTTCGCTTGGGAGATGGTTTTTTATTCTTTTTGTGCCAGTCAGTGATAGTTTTTCGTCTGGACTCGTGGTTACCTGTTGTGGTCAGGAGTATCAAAACAGATATAATATTCTGATCGATACTTATGTTTTCCCCCGTATTGCCCCACGTCGGGTAAGCCGTACCTCTGTAGAAAGTCAAGTCTGGGTTTGTGTCCCGTTGTACGGAGTTGCCAGTAGGGATTAGTAGAGCTATGTCGTTCAGTAGAGAGCACTGAATGTGATGTAAAGCCTCCTCGAGCTTCCTACCTTCGGTGTACGTTTTGCGGTATCCCCATACCACGTCTTGGCACTAGAAATCCCCCAAGACAAGGTCTCCTTGCGGCATTGCTGGGGGAATAATTTAGAGATCAGCTTTTTTGCTTTGCCGACGCGTGTGGTTTCGTTTTTAAACTTCCGTTTTCGAGGTCTTCGTGTTTCTTGGATCTATCTTCGAGGATCGTACATAGTACGTGCTTCTTTTTTAG